ATGTAATGCTGATGTCTACGAACCAAGAAGTCGTCACATAGTCAGGAGATAATATTTAACAAACACATGAAAAATTACGATGAGACGTCTGCCACCAAAGGTGCAATCGCGCTGAACAGCTCCGTAGGTTCCATCATTCCATATCGTTCTATTATTGCCTGGTGTGCGCGAATCACGTTTGTGATAGCGTCAATTATGTTGTCCAAGAATTGCAGCCACTGCTTAGTCCCAAGGTGCGAAACAAAGATACCACTGTCGCCAACATTCCACTAGTTTGATTGACCTCCGGCCGAGCCTTGACGGACCCCTGAGATCTGGTCACTAATCTGCGACCCGCTTCAAGGCTTGTGATTTGATAGCGGTCGATGGTGCTGGCAAGGAAGGGGCGGGAGCCGTTCGGGGCCTCGGAGTAGTCAAATGAAACCTAGAAGCATTGTAAAACCTCTGGTAAACTGGAATGGATTAGATGCTTCTGCTGAAAAACTCACTGGAGAAATTACGCCTCCAAACCACCAAGATCGACCACCTGATAGTCCCACTTATCTCCTCAAGTATGAGGGGTTAGACCCCCATCTAACCCCTCATACGTGAGGAGATAAATTGTACCACAACAGGCGGTGGTAATTGGTTCCACCAGTACCACCAAACACCCCCTGGGAGAAAAAATGGATTTCCCCCCCCCGTACCACCCCATTTTGGTGGCCCATTGACGCGCCTAAAGTAGTCAGTAAATTTGTGACTCTGTACCCTCTGTACCACCAAACGACTTTTTTAAGCGGGTCAGTAAAAATGTGACCCTGTTAGTGCCACCCGTACCACCGGACTGTTTTAAGGGTATCAGTAAAAAATGTGACCCCGTTAGCATACCACGGGTACCACCAGAGCGCTTTAAGCGTATCAGTAAAATTTGTGACCTGGTTAGTGTACCCCATGTACCACCGGTGCATTTCGGAGGGCCGGCACCTGGGACGGCATACCCCACGTACCACCGGTGCATTTCGGAGGGCCGGCACCTGGGACAGCGTACCCCATGTACCACCGGTGCATTTTCGGATGACGGGGTGTGTACCCCTCGTACCACCAGCCCATTTTCAGATAATGAATGGGGGTGTGTACCCCGCGTACCACCGGCCCATTTTTGGATAATGGGGTGCGTACCCCGCGTACCACCGGTGCATTTTTGGATAATGGGGTGCGTACCCCGCGTACCACCGGTGCATTTTTGGATAATGGGGTGTGTACCCCTCGTACCACGGGTGCGTTTTCGGATAATGGGGTGCCCGTCCAGTCCCATTACCACCCTTACCACTAAGTGGACAGAAAATAACTCCTTGCACTGCAAATACTACAGCTGTAATACTGCTACTCCCCATCCGTCGCCAAAATCACAAAGCGCTCTGTTATCTCTGCAACCTGCTCATCCTCCTTATCTTCTCCCTCATCATCCTCATCATCGGTCTCCCAGCCATCCTCATCGTAAGCACTCCTCTCAGCTGCCATCCCCCGTGCCATCTCCGCAGCAATTGCCTCTTCTTCTCCTTCAGGTACAATGGGGTCCACATCCATTTCATCAACTGGGGCCTCGGTTGAAGCCTTATGCACACCTGGAACCAGGGTTCCTGTGAACGCACCCTTCAGTATCTTGGGAAGGCTATGCAGACGTTGCAGGTGAATATTGTCGAAGCGGCCCCTCTGGTTTCGATATCTCTTGATGAAAAAGGCAAGAATGGGGCTCGTCTTTCTGACCTCCTCCTCCTTGGCAACTAGGAACTCCTTCTCGTCGCGGATGTAAGTAACAAAACGACGGATTTCAATGTTGAGGCGGGGAATTTCCTCCTTGGCCCACTCGACCCGGAAATATGAGTCCATGAGGTGCCGAGCACCAGGGGAGGCCCAGGGACGCAATGCTGTGTTGCCCTCTGGGTCACGGAGGATGTCAAAGTCGGAGAGGAAGGTATAGTCAATGACCTCCGTCCAGGTGAGGTGATGCCTAGGGGGTTTGAGAGCTGCAGCTGCTGTATTGTAACGAACAAGGGCGTTCCTGATAGTCTTGGAGCGGACCTGTAAGGCTTTAGCCACGTGCTTTCTGAGCTTATAGCCTGTATATAATTGTGAGTAATCCAAATATAACCCTTCCACATCTTTCAAAACTCGCCTGTTTGGGACATGTTCATTTTTGTGAGTTCAAACAGCCTCTTGAGCACCAGCTCCTCTAGGTGGTTCACACAGAGTCTGTATCTTCTGGTGGCGACCAGCTCTGCAGCCTTCTGCCACTCTGGACTCTCGGATGTCCACCGGGGTCCAATCTTCATCTTGCGCTCCATCTCCTGGACGGCATCTATAGCTTTGTCGAAGTTTTCCCGAGCATGCCTTCGAGCTGTCCCATTGGAAGTCGACCCTTCAGCAAAGACAGTGTCGAAAGTCGCACTGGTGGTAATGGTGGTACATGGTGGTATCAATGGTAATGGGTATGTAGTGGTATCGGTGGTATTGGTAAGCTAAAAACAGAAGAAACAAGAGCAAAACTGACCTTCTAGCTGCCAGGTTGACCAGCCTTTGATAGTATTCCATTTGATCAGTCTCTGCCTCTGGTTCCTTCTTCAATGCCAAGAGGTATTCCTTCTCTTGCTTCAGGCGTTCATGAAAGACTTCTGGGCCACTGATTCCAGCCTGATCCATCACGTACTTTACTGACTCCTCTGTCTCTAGTATTTCGACTGCTTGCTTGTAGTTGTTCACCAGAAAGGTGCCTGGTTGACAGTATTATATTATATCACCAAGTCGTATCAAGAACGGCTTAGCACTCACTGAGATTTGCGTAAGTGTCAAAGGTGTCGGTGTGAGCAAGATATGTCCTGATTGACTGCCGCCGGTGGAAGACACTGGCATAGCGAACAGACCTCGATAATGTGTTTGACTTGGAAAAGAAGCGCTCGCATGTCTCGAGGTCCTCAATCCCGAGACCCTTCACGTAGGTGGCGAGGTGCCTAAGCTGGCACAAGCGGTTGTGAGCGTGGCCATGGAAGGCACCAACAAGAAGCCTGTAGTTGAGCTCTTTGGCCATCTCTCCAAGGGGTGAGTTCTTGACAGTGGTCTCAAAGCCGCAGCCGATATCATAGCCCATGCCAATGTCTCGTCCAAACACATCTAGGATGGCCTTGCTGATTGCAAGACCGTACTTGGCTCTAAGAAAGGGCAAGTTCAGCAAATATGTACCATGGGTACCACCATACCACCCAATCCACGACTCACAATTCTCCACTTTTCACCATGTCGCTAAATAACAGAACAAAACCATGGCGACAGAGGGCCAGGAAGATGCCCGTCTCATCAAACACCCCCCACATGCGTGCAGTGAGATCCTCAGACAAATTCTTCCAGCGTTCCTCGCAATTGCTTCGCTCCTCTGGATCATCGCTCGTCTGAATATAGTCGGTACCAAGCAGGAGAGGAACAATAATCATAAATTCACTCACTGGGACCTGTACCTGTTGCACAAGGACCCATCTGTCGACCTTGTCTCTACTAAGGAGGTAGTCTCCTCCTGCATCTGCCGTCCTTGGATCTGGGCGTTCAGAACCACCTCGTAAAGGCTGCCCATTGTCATCATACTCCCCATACACCTTCCTCAAAACCCTCTTCAGTGAGTCATTCCCATCCATCGTGCTGAGCATATCAAAGATGAGCTTCTGCTCACCCTCTAGCTTGTATGTGCAGGAGGGGCAACAGTTCTTCAGCCTCCAGTCTGGTGTGTCACGCCCCAACACTTTCTTAACACGCTCATCCACCGTCTTCAGGATTTCAAGGTAAAGATCAAAGCAGATGGTGAACTGCTCAGCGGAGTAAGGCTTGAACGCTTCACTATGGAGGTCGGAAAGGGTCTTCATCCACGCCTGAACACCAAGGGCTGGGCAACGCAGATGAGCGAGACGGTACATCTCAAGGACTCTGGTGGCAATGGCGAGCTTAGGCTTCCAGGGAGCACAGGGCATCAGCCCTTGACCCACAAGACAAGAGCTTGTGAACTCATCTATTATAAGCATGGGAACATGGACAACATAGGTTTCTACACATTTGTTAGTCTGCCGCCATCAAGGGACCAGAAAGAAAGAACACACCAAACAGATCTACTACAGTGATCTTATAGCTCTTCTCCACCGTTTCTGGTGCTGGCGGCTTTGGTGTCCCATCCAGACCGTATTCGTCCTGAGTCATAGACCAATTCATAAACACGTCAGTCAAAGCCTTCATCTGGCCACGAAATCCAAGAACACAGTTTTTGACCTTGTCATGCCGCTTGCGCCTATCATAGTGTTTCCTTCATACATGATAGGTCAGGTTCATAAAGCTCAGACATACGTGTCAAATTCCTCACTTCTGCTTTTTTGAGTTCAGGGCATGATTCACGCCATCCTGGAGATCTCCCAGCTCTCTGCCACCATGACTGATGTCTATCTCAACATTCCCCTCAACAACATCTTGATAGCTGATTGGGGTGTCGTGGTCGGGGTTAGTCGCATCCTCAGGTATGTCAAGTAGAGTCTGGAGAATCTTCCTCTTCTCTTTGTCTAAGGCTAGCAATAATAAAATATAGTCATAAGGATCCCACAAAACGCGAAAAAACACAAACTTACATGTCATGCGTTCCTTCATTTCCTTGTTGGTGATATTGTTCAGATGTTCGCGTTTGCCAGGTCCAAGTGAAACCATTTTGTGTTCAACGTTTCCATCCTTGTCGACACAAGGCATTGACTGCCGGACTCTTGGAGCACCACGTCTGGATTTCTCTTTCGGCATTGTGAAGTGAAAAGAAAAGAGATGTCAAAATGTCACATGACAGATTTGACGGTGTATGGGTGGTACAGATCAGATTGTCTACCCGCCGTTCAACACAGGGTATGGGTGGTACATGACACATCATGACCCTGCTGTGCCTGGGGGTATGGGTGGTACACATGGCGCCAACTACCCTTATACAGTCCTTGTGACACTATTTATGTCCTCGTATAGCACAGTGGCTAGTGCGCCTGCAACCTTATGGGAAAAGCCAAAAAATGTTATGCAGGAGGGGGGGGGGGGTTCGATTCCCGATTCGAGGATAGATGCATAGACACCTTTTTTTTTGGAGGTGGAGGTACCGGTGGTACTGCTTGGTTTGAATAGAACCTGGGGGTACATGTGGTAATGATCACCGAACAAAGTGTTTCAGGGGGCTTGAAACAAAGGGGCCATTGTGCTCCTTTCTCCTCTGGCTCCTTTATAATGTGGCCTATCTCCCATTTGACCACTGCCTCTCCCTTTCCCCCCACTACCACCATTCCTACTCCTGATAGATGCGTCTCAGAATGAAGAACAGAGGTGAGCCCTTGCCCTCGCATGTCCCTCCTCCCCTCCCTTCCCTCGGACTGGCTGCTAGACGGTCAGCCACTCTGGTACACCCAAGACGCAGCCCCTATCCCATTTCGTGCCCCCCAGTCCGGCTATCAGACTTCTAATTACCGGTTTCCAGCTCCTACCGCTCCAGACAACGACCTCGACGCGCTCAACTTTCGTGAGGTGAGCACATTGTCTCCCTCCCATGTCACTCTTGCTCAAATCCACCGCCAGACCCGCTCCGGGCGGGTATTCTCGTCTTGGGAGGAGATCAGTGCTGGAACCTTTGACATTGCCGCTGCTGTATCCCATGCTGTCGAGCTCCAGATCAACGAGCATGAGGACCTGACCGAGCTCGACAGCGGCAGGCCTCGTATTTTGCTGGCGGCACACACTCCTTCCACCTCGACATCCTCCAGTACCATCCGTACCACCACCGACACTTCACCCCCTTCCACCTCGACATCCTCCAGTACCATCCGTACCACCACCGACGCTTCACCACCTTCCACCTCAACATCCCCCTGTACCACGCGCACCACCGCCCGCGCTTCATCCGAAAAAACGAAAAAACTCATCCACGCTGCTCACCAGGTCAAAACCACAGCCACAGACGCCCTTCTGGATTCCCGCCCTCGCCACCCCCCGCCACCTTAAGAAGATCACTGTCTCTCCCATCCGCGCCAACTTCTCTCTCCACAAAATTTGCATTGCATCCACTGGCTGGATAGGGCTCCGTGACCACGGTGTTGCACCCCAAGAAGCAGCCGCAGGCTCTGCCGAGGACGGCCCACGTCCAACCCACAAACTCTCCGACTTCTTTGGGCCAAGTGCTATTTTTCGTGGATTCACTTTGGTTAAATATGCAGACCGGTGCGTGCTTGATTTCTCTTCATCCTACCACCACTAACCTTCCCTCAACAGCCATGCCCGACCAATTGTAGACTGTCACGGCAAGGTCTGTGCTGTCTACGGTGGTAAGCCTGACGATGAGGATTTTATGAAGACCATACACGACCCTGCCGTTGAGGCAATGGAGCTCGCCCGGGCCCAGGCCTCCCTTGCTGACGATCGCACCTTCCATCGCCGCGGAAACTGGGCCTCCCTCACTGCTGGCGATTCCCATGGAGGCGGACAGGTGCAGCCTGGTGCACTTGTCAATGGGATCATTAACACCACCGTCCTGTGCTGTCTCCTCATCCACTTCTCTTTCATCCGGTTCGCAGGCTTCGCTACAGGTGTGTTTGTGCTGCACATCGGCCCGTACTGACACCAACAAAGGTCTGTTTGCAAACTGGGCGCCTGAACTTTTCGATTTCTACGTCGACTATATGGGAGCGTTCTACAAGAGATACTCCCACCTCCATCGTCCATTCCTCAACGGCATTTGGTCTGCCGTTACCTTCAATCTGGGGCCCTACACCTGCGCCCTTGGCCACCGCGACTTCGCCAACCTTGCTTTTGGGTGGTGTGCTATCACTGCCCTCGGATACTTCAACTACCAGAAGGGCGGACACCTCATTCTCTGGGATTGTCACCTCGTCCTGGAGTTTCCCCCCGGCTGCACCATTTTGATCCCCAGCGCCGCCATCTTCCACTCCAATATCCCCATCTCCAACACCGAGCGCCGTTATTCCTTCACTCAATACACCGCAGGCGGCCTTTTTCGATGGGTGGAGCATGGATTCAAGACGGAGGAGGAGTATATGGCCACATTGACAAGGCGTGAGCGTGAGGAGGAGGAGCAGCTGGGGCTGGAGAGGGCTCGTGAGGGCGCCAGAATGTTTTCTACACTTGAGGAGCTTTGTGCAATGTAATTTTGTAGTTGTTACCATCTGTACCACCATCCTTTAGACCGAAAAATGACCAAATTACCACTCAATCTACCTAAATTTGGCAAATTACCACCGGTACTCCCACAAAAAACCGGTGGTACGGGGGTGAAATTGGCCTGATCGCCAACTCGTTTCATGATCGGCCACCTAGAATTGCATAGTACTTCACCTCTTGACCCTCTATTAAAATTCTGAGGAGGCAGATGTCTCAATTAGACCTCAAGGTGTCCCCTGATTAAATTCTGTATTTCTTGCTGATGTCTATAAGTGATTTTGTAAAGTGACATGAAACTGACCGAATTGAATGTTGTTTGTACCTTGTCTTCCGACCACCACCACTACACAACTTTTTATTTTTGGGTCAACTATGGAAGATAATGACTGGTAAAGCTCTTCTTGTATCCTCTAGCACATTCTGGAGGCTTGGTGTCACCTTGTTACTTCCCAAAAAACCAAAAAGACATATTCAAAGAATGAGATACCATCAAGAACTACAAGTGCCAGGCGTCTTGCATGTGCCCAGTATCGTGAAAGGTACCTTTCATTGATTGTTTCCTTCGCTCTCCCCAATCCTCGGGCACAGGAACCGCCATAAACTGGCTGAAAAGTTGAAAATATATATGGCCAAGTAATTTCACTCATTCACTGCGTTCCGGCCCCTTGTAGACCAAGGGGTAGGCTACGTCCGTACACGAAGACGTACTCACATGTATATGACTACACATTATCCGAGGTTGTTCTACATTGGCCTACCTACGTCTACATGGGGTAGACCCATGTAGACCTAGGTAGCCATTGGCGTAGATGCATGTGACCCAAAATTGCCCAATTTTTACAGACAGGCGAGGTTTGGGACGAAAAATGAAGAATGGGATGAGGCGAGGTTGTTCTACGGCATGTAGACACACATCGGCGGGCGTAGCCCAATGTGGAATTGATGTGACTACGTGACGTAGAATGCCGAAGACGAAGCTCGGAGCAAAACGCTCCGATGTGCCGTAGACACATGCCGTAGAAGCATGTCGGCATCCGTAGAATGCCGTAGCTACACGTGGTTAACGTGTGACTACGGCGGCCCGGAACGCAGTGATTCTGCCTGTTTCATTGTCCAACACCCTGGCAGGCGCCGTCAGAAGTTGAAGGCAGATGCAGAGGCGACTCTAGCAGGACGCAAGAAGGCACAGGCAAGCACAAATTTGTATAGGCAGAAGTGAGTTGCTGATTTCGGCTAGAAACATATATATTTAATGATTTGAAACGGTAGGCTCAAGGATTTTATCCAGTGGAAGCAGCGTGTTGCTCGTTTGGACAAGCAAGGAGGTTCCTCGACAAAGAAAGGCAGCAAATGTCTACGGAATTACGAGTTGGAGTATGAAATCTACTTACAGGACAAGAAAAATGATGCCAGGCGCAAGGTGGCAGACACCCTTTACACTCCCCACGCAGATGAAGTTCAGGTGACTAGGCGTAATGGGTCTGCAGGGTTCATATACGTGTAGACAAATTTTATTCAATATTTTTGTGGCTTATGATCACCCCGTTGATAAGCATGGTATTGGGCCAGGGTGTGAAAACTACACATATTCACGCTTTTGTGCTATTTACACGATGCTATTGCACATCTCTAGAGAGCTAGTGTATGCCCGGACAGCTAGCTAAGGAGCTAAAGTGTCTGCGACTCTCCAAGATGTTCCGCAGTAATGATCCTTACGGGTCAGAGCCCAGGGCATTGAACCAGAGTTTAGCTAAACAGTTTATCCAAACCATTCTATCATTGAATTGGGGTTTACTGGCATGTTCCTATCAAGGGTGTGATATTACTATCCATCTAGACAAAGAGTGATACCAAGAGGCATTGGTTGCAGGTCGAATGGAGTCGACAGAGTTGTTGTAGCAGATTCGGCGGCATCTTGTTCATTTGTGACATTTCTGTCACTGTGATCAACGATCACATGCTTCGGGTGCTTCAGGGATCATCGGAGCTTTCCGGGATCATCCACTGATTGACATCATAATGAATTCCCTGGTCACGGACGCTCATATAAGCTGCCGAGAGAATTTATGAAGGTTCTGGATGTTTGGGCCAAGGGTTGGATGACTCAAGAGGAGTCTGGTTCGGTCTGGACTGGTCTATACTACATTGGGCATGCCCAAAACCCTCAGAACCGCATGGACACTTCCAAATTTGGACTGTTTACATTATAACCCAGGGTTCCGTTTTAATTGTATGACTCGTTTACTTCCCCTTTTGGACTTGCTAGTTTGTATAAATAGGGTAGCTTATTTCGCTTTACTGTACTGGATTTTACCCTCCCAGGCAGCCGGTTTACCACTGGTCAGCTAAGGAGTCAGTAATTTCCTTGTCTAGTTTGTGAGGCTCAAAGAGGGAGCTAAATTGATTTTGTTGGTTGTTGGATCGCACTTTTCTTGTGTCGCATTGAGCTATAAGCTATAAGGCTTCGGTTTCATGAGCTATAAGAAGTCTACAATCCAGTTATAAGACCTTAGCAGTTTGGACAAACCTGTTCTGGTCCCGCTATACAACTTCAAGTTGGAATTGGATTGACTGCTATAAAGCTGTAAAGCTACACTTGCTTGAAATCTATTGTCGTTGCGCTGCTATACCGCTATACGCTTTGAGTCTAGGACTCGTTAGCTTGCTTGGGTCTAGGACCCTTTAGTTTGGATTAGGTTGGATTAGCTGCACAGTTACAAGGATTGCTTGGATTTGAACGCTTTGGAGCATTGGCTTAACACACCATTTCGCTTGCAAGGATATTGGGATTAGGTTAGGATAGGAACAGCTATAAAGGCTATACCAGTAACATTAGTTTCTGGGTCACAAAACACACAAACCCCATTCGCATTTTATAAAAACTACGGTTCTACTT